GTGTCGCTTCTTCTTCTTCCATTACCAAAGTTTTCTATTTTCTACCCCGAATTTATTCCTCTTGCAATCATATTTTAACAAATCAAAATATAGCATAAGATATCTTATAATGTTTATCAAATATTTCTATTAGGAAATCTTTGCTATTTAAAAAAATTTAAACTTTTATCGTAAATTTGTAATTAATTGAAAATTTGATCCTATTAATTCTTCGGACAGGTATTTACAAAAATCGAACATTTCTTCTATTTAAAAAACTTAAATCTTTATTGTAAGGTGTGTAGAAAATATTACCAAAAGAAAAAAAGATATCTTATCTATTATTTCTAGATTTTTAATTAACCAAAAAATAAATCTTACTAATTGTTCAAGCATAGTACGTACCTTTACAAACAAAGAATCCGTTCAATTTAGCAGACATAAATCTTGGTAGTTATCGATCGAAGTTAAACTATCTACTTACTAAAACTCTTCACTAAAGCTAAAATATTCCTTTATTATATCTAAGTAAGCTCTAATAGATTACGCGAATTCCTGAGATATTTCTCCCCATACTCGTACGTATTACCCTTAGTTCGGTACCTTCACGCGTCCCCATCCGTCGTCGCTTATTACAAAATATATAATTCCCTTAGACGAGAGAAAGAGAATGAGAAAGAGAAAGAGATGATAGAGAGACTCAATGGGCCGGAAATTACGCAACGGAACTTGCGACTTCTCTCGTCCACCGAAAGCCCGATGTCCAAATAGAAAATGGATTAAGAGCATCGAGCTACAGTTTCGAAGCCAAGTCGTAGATATTATCGGTAATAGCGCAATTATGATAATGGTGGGTAATTCTGTACAAAATTCGGATAGAGAGAAAGACAAGGAAAGAGAAAGAGAAAGAGAAAAATCGAGAGAGAGAAAGATTGTGTGCGAAGGAAAGTGGAAGGAAGAGAAAGAGAAAGCCAGAAAGAGAAAGAGAGAGAGAGAGAGAGAAAGGCGGCAGAGAAGACAAAACGAGAAATAGAGAAAGGAAGAGAGAGAGAAACAGAGTCGAGAGAACTGAGACTGCTAATGAAGGAAACAGTTAGATTCAAACGGCCTCCAATAATTATCCTGCCAGCCATCCATATTATAGTCTTGACAATGCACGAAATTGTTCACACTTCCCTTGACAGTGCATCTAACGCTCTATAGTTCCCGAATACCGGTGGGAGGATAACGAGGAGGAAGAGGGAGAAGAGAACCGAAGAACCGAACAACGACGCTAAGAGAGTGTAAGGTAAAAAAGTGAAGGACGTTTGAGAACTTTAGACTACTGGAATCAAATCTTACACTATTACATTTATCCTTCCATGTCTATACTTATACATTTATTATACGTCGAACATAATTGTTTTCTTTTTCCAAACAATAAAATGATATCAATAATCCTCGTAGAGAAAAAAAAAAGAAATTATAAGGTCGTTAGATTCTTACATTTCTTTATTTTCTTCATTAATATCGTTTTTATTGCATCGAAATGAACTGAAAAATATATACCTAGCAAGTAGTTATCTTTCTATCTGGAGATATTATCTCTTTCAGTCGATTAGCGTTCAGTAGTAGAAGAAGAGGGAAATAGGGTAGTTCGGGGGTGGGAGTGATCTTCGAAGCCGAACGAACGTTCTTCACCGCGGACAATTAACCGCGATCAATGAAATTCCCCGCGGCAACCGCGGGAGTCGTTATTATACCACGAGAGTTGTTATACGCGTGCAATTTGCAAATCCCACCCCACGCAGACTCGCGCTCGTGATTGCGGACCTCTTAGGAAATATAATCAGACCGATGAATGCACACACGTCGAACGATAGTCGGACACGTAAATTCATGTCATTCGGGATCGAGCTTGTGGAAATCGCGCAGACCTCCCTTTACCTCTCTTCTCCCCCCTTCACCCCTCATTCCTCACCCCCTTCTCGCTTGCTCACTCACTCCTTCTCTCCCTCTCTCTTTCTTTCTCTCTCTCTCTCNTCCTTCTCTCCCTCTCTCTTTCTTTCTCTCTCTCTCTCTCTCTCTCTCTCTCTCTCTCTCTCTCTCTCTCTCTATTTCATTCGCTCTCTTGCAATACATACATGCATACATACCCATCGTACCTCTCGACATTGATGTGTTGATATTAGTAGAGCTAATTTGATAGTTTAATCAATTTCCGTAAGCCGACGGGAGTTTAATAGTGATGTCATCATTTGCAACGGGGCACAATGGGGTTAATCTCGCTCGACGAGCTAATATTCGGAGAGTTAACGGAGTTTCAAATGCAGCCAGGGCCGTCATTTGCCCGCATCCGTTCGTCGCGAAAGCGTTACGATTACCTACCTACCTACGAAAAGGTGTGTATCTCCCTTCATCTTCCACTCCTCGTCCCCCTCCTTCTACTTCTACTCTTCCACATTTTTTACTCAAACACTTGAAACGCGTATTCTCTCGAAAATTTCTACGACGTTCATCGATCGAATAATAACATAAATCATACTAAACTAACTTCTCAATCTCGTCAAGCAAATACCAGATCAGTCGAATCGTTAAAAATTGAATAAAACCATACCGCGATAGAAATCATCGAAAGATATAAAATTACAACGTTTAATACAATGCTAATTTTATAAAAAAATAATCTAGTTAATAAGACAAAAAGTATATATCATTAAACGAAATAATATTAACGCGTAAATAAGTCTTTAGCCATTTCATTGGACGACGGGATAAACGAAAAGAGACCAGAGGAACGATATCCCTCATGATCTTAAAAACATCGCGCTAGATGAGAAAAGAGGGCTTTGAAATAGCGGACTCCTCAACTGGGGGACCGTCATTTTTTTCACCACGAGTAAAATTCGTGCTTGAACGTAAAAGAGAAGGAGGAGGAGGAGGAGGAGAATCAAAAAGAGGAAGATGGAACGAAGCAAACGGGGTAGAGTGAAAGAGTAACAGAGACAGAAATAAAGAATAAAGAGTAAAGAGTAAAGAGTAAAGAGTAAAGAGTAAAGAGAGAAAGAGAGAGGTGGTGACGACGCGTGAGCGGCAACGGGGGTACAAAAAGGGGCCGGAGGGTGGGGCGGGGGCGGATTACCACGGCGGCGGAATTAAAGATTCGCAGTCGTGTTTCGCAGTTTTCGTTCGAGCGGCCCTGCATGCGAATCCCCGAGCGGGCATATTAGGTGGAGGTACGCAGTTAGGCAATAACCGCTGTCAATAGAAGCCAGTCTCTCCACCTCTCTCTCTTTATCTCTCTCTCTCTCTCTCTCTCTCTCTCTTCTGAAGTGGCCCCCACTCGAAAATGCTACTCGCTAAATTAGGTAGGTTATATGGGCTTCGTTTCATTTGCGAGCAAACTTTAATAAACGCTAAAATTGCGTAAAAGAGCAAGGTTTTCAGACGAGCGAATCAGGGTCCCAGAGAGACGTTGGGGGAAAGAGAGGACCCTGGGAAGCTTCTCTCCTTCTCCCTCACTCTAATGCTACTGCTACTCTACTCCTACTACTACTCTTCATCCTCCTCTTCCTCATCCACATCTACCTCCATAATCTCCTCCTCCTTTTCACTTCTCTCGGCACATTCACTACGCATACGTGCAGTCATGAAGCGGGTGACTCCAAACAATTTCCCCCTTACGGTTTTTCATTTCCTCCCCGCAGTTTCGTGTCGATTTAAATCTTCGAAGGACCCATTTCCTATTTCCTCATTTTTTAATCTAATCGATCGCTACCTTCCATACTTCCAATAAACCGGACTCCATGTTTGTTTCACTTATCTCTATATACGTATAGAATGTATTCCATTTCTAGTAATATCATTTTGAAGATTTATTTATTATAAGAATTGGCAAAAATGTAATAATACAAAATAAATAATATTTATTAAAAAATTATTGATAATGAATAATTACATATATGTAATTAATTATTTAATTACCTTAGAATACTTTTCACAGGATTTAATTCATGAGCGTCATGTTAATATAGTTTTGTTTTATTTTTTAATAAACTTGAAGGAAGAAATAAAAAATATTTACCTCAATAAGAAAAGAATATTATTGCCTTAAAAATTAGTTACTTTAATTTATCTTTTATACCCTCATTATATTTTTATTGTCAAAAATAAAAGTCACTTTTTGCTATTTATGAATAAAGAAGTATGCGGCCATTTTAAATGTTGCGTAAACGTGGATACGTGTTGCCATCTGATGACAAAAAGTAACAACGCTTGCGTTTGATTACCTGTTGCAACTACGAAGATCAGTCGATAAGAAAGAAACATATAAAAGAACTGATAATTATATTAATGAAAGGAAACATTTGCCTTTTGTATGTGCAAACAAAAGACGATCGAACGATTGTTCTACGATAATTAAACGATAATTATTTTCCTAGAAAAGTTTTCATTAACATATGGATCTTCGTACGTGATAACTTCGACGTGGCGAAACAATCGATATTATTTTGATCACAAAATTAATCATACCAGTTATAAGCAACGCAAATACTATTGAAATAAATTCAAGCATTTCGTAACAATTTTGTTCAATATTAAAACTAAAACAATATACAGAATTAATCGTATAAATGAAAATTGTAACAATAAGTCGATAAAGTAAAATGCGATAATAAATAGTAAAATTTAATACAATCATTTGTCCGATAGTTGGACACAGCGTATCTTGAGCAGTGATCAATCGAGTATTTTAAGGGCCCTGAGCATTACACACGTGTTTTTAAAATTGTTCAACTACATTGTTATCGAATAATTCTTTATCTTTTTTAAGTGCTTCCAAGGAACCATCACTTGTGGCCGATGACTAATACCTTATTCATAATCAGCTTAAACGTATTATCATAATTAAAGTTCAATTTTTGTCTTAAGTATAATGTGAGAAAAAACAATAGTCAGAACAAGTTTACCTCGCAAATCGTCACGGTAGGATTTGATGGTGCATCTCAGACGAGTGAGTTGATTCTATCCAGTATTGAAAAAAAAATAGAAAGAGAGGGGGAGAAAGAAAAAAACTTTATTTCTAATTATTATTGTTATCTAACACTACGCGACATTAAATATGGTATATGTGGAGTAGTGTTTACGAAAGAAACTTCAAATGCGTATTATATCAATGTGTGTTTGTGTTAAGACGATAAAAGAAAACGCCCTGTATTTGTCTACAAGAGTATAAGAGTAAAAATTAAGTATAGTCTCTGGTACAACCAAGTGTTGATTATTTATCTACGTGTAATAAGAAAAAAGTTTATAAATGATTTAACCTTTCGTATGATAATGAATATCGGAAACCTACCGCTTGAGGTTATGTTAACTACAATTATTCCAATTATATTTTGAAAAGGTATCCCCGCGCCAAAATTGCCCAGTCATTCAATACTCATAATTTAGTTGTACATATCAATTAATGAAACATTTCAGCAAAATCATATATTTTCATTGGTTACGCAGTTTATATAAAAATCACTCTGGTATGTTGTGCCAATCCTAAATAACACGGTATTTGGTCCAATTCATTCCTGATAATGGCTGATGAAGTAGAGGCACTTCGCCTTAATAATGAAGAAATTGAATATATGGAAGCGGAGCTCGATGGGGACGACGATGATGGTTCCGACGGTGTGGTAGTTCCAGAACTTCAGGGTACATTATCCAAGTGGACTAATTATATACACGGCTGGCAAACTAGATTTATTGTTCTCAAGAATGGTACTTTGTCTTATTACAAATCTGAACAGGATAGTGGATTTGGTTGCCGTGGTTCAATAAGCCTATATAAAGCTAATATCAAGGTAGGATATGTTAGACTTTTAAAACAGGGATGACAAATAATGTACTTATCTATATAATCTGTATATAGAAGCTGATATGGGAAAAAGATCACCATAAATTTCACCATATTTTAGCATGTTGGTCAAATCTGCTTTGTCCTCCCTGTTTTAGAACATATTGGACTTTATATTTTCCTAAATTAATAGTAAATGCATCCTTTAATTTTTTTTTTAATTTTGATTTAATTTAATAGGCACATGAATTTGATGAATGTAGATTTGACGTGTCTGTTAACGATTGCTTAGTATGGTATTTGAGAGCAAGCAATCCTGAAGAAAAGCAAAGATGGGTAGATGTTTTAAAATCATATAAGGTAAATCTCTTAATTAAAAGCATTTAGAAGAATATATATTTATATATATATATATATCATTTATTGCTGTGCTTATATTAATGTAATTATGTATAAATGTAGCCAATTAATATAAATGGATAAAGATAATGTATGATTTTGCAAATGCATGAATAACATTTCAACTTTCAATGTATTTTTATTAAACAGTCAGAATCAGGGTATGGAAGTGAAAATAGTCTTAAACGTCATGGTAGTGCCATTTCTCTAGTATCGAACACACAGTCCACTACAAGTGCTGGTAGTTTTACTAAGCGTGGTATTAGAGGTTTGAAAGAAAAATTAGCAGAAATAGAAACTTTCAGAGATATTCTAATAAAACAAATTGATACATTACAAAAATATTTTGATAATTGTGCAGAAAATGCTAAAAATGCTTCTTCAAAAGGTATGGGCCTTTTTTTTTAATTTTACAATATTACGTATAAGTGGAAGAAGATCAGACGAATTGATACTCTTTCGATTGATGTAAATTTTATTCGTCATGATTTGCAGAAAATAAGATTGAAAAAAAATTTAATCCGGCTGAACAGTCAGTGGATTTTAAAGGCGAAGCAATTACATTTAAAGCAACAAGCGAAGGAGTATTGGCGACATTGCAACATTGCATTGAGTTAATGATACAACGTGAAGATGCATGGCGTCGTAGATGGGATAAAGAGGTTGAAAAAAAACGAAAATTACAAGAATTGTACAAAACCTTAAAAGACCAAATTACCATGCATCAAAGCGACTCTCCAAGACCTCGAGTTCTCATTCATGGAGGTCCTGATTATGAGGTTTGATTTTTTTTTATTATCTGACCTATTTTGAACAAGATACTAGGACATTAAGTTTATCTTGTTACTTAAAATTACTCATTTTTAAAATATTTATTTAATTAATTGGATATTTCATCATTTGTTTACACATAGTATGGATAAAACGTGTGATTCATTCATTTAAATATTTGTGTCACTCTGTAGGTATATTTAGTAATGCTTCCTTTGTTATTTTTGACGGATGTTATTTGTTCTGCGATATTGTTCATTTTATTACGTCATTTATACGAAAAACTTTTATAGATGCTTACATATGTTCTGTAGTATTTTCATGTGTGTATTAGAAATTAAAACTTGTACTAATTTAGAGCATGAAATTAAAAAAATGTGTTGTTCCGAAGAAGTAAGTTACAATATTAATATAATATTCATATAGATAGAGAATATATTTTGTTATAAATAATTGACTTACATTTATATTTGCCAACTGTATAACTATAAATATTAATTTGAAAAATTAACAATTTTAAGGAAGGCCCACACAGTGCGCTTTGCGACGAAGAATTTTATGATGCAGTAGAAACTGGTTTAGATAAAATTGATGAAGAAAATCAATTAAGAGATCGTTTGAAACAAAAATCTGTCACCATTTTAACTACGCCTACTACGTCAGCAGTTAAGCATAGGCTTTGGCCTGAGGTAATTTAAAATTATTGTTTTAATTTATTTTTTATGAAAGTATAAAAGATATGTGTGAATAAGAATAATAACAAAAAATATTATAATTATAGATAGAGAAAATAACAATGCAACAGTTACACTATGCTAGACTTGGTGTAGGAGGTGCAGGAGGATGGCAATTATTTGCTGAAGACGGTGATATGCGAATGTATAGACGAGAGGAGGAAGCTGATGGTTTGGTAGTAGATCCACTTAAAGCTTGTCACGTCGTAAAAGGTGTGACTGGACACGAGGTTTGCGAAATATTTTTCGGCCCCGAATATAGAAGTGAATGGGAAGCTACGCTCGAAGATATGACTGTAGTAGAAAATATCTCCAAGGATACTTTGGTATTTCTACAAACGCATAAACGAATTTGGCCTGCGACTCAACGAGATGCCCTTTTCTGGTCTCACATACGTAGAGTAAAAGATGATCAAGATCCAGATTCACAAGATTTATGGATAGTATGCAACCACAGTACAGAACATTCTGATTATCCGGTTGGTATTATAAAAATTCAAGTGTCTAATACTTCTTTACAAATAATAAAATACAAATTATATTTTTCCAGACAAATGTCGGTAAATGCGTAAGAGTTTACTTGACAGTGTGTCTTGTATGTCAAACATTCATTGACCCTCCGAAAGATGAAGAAGAAATAAAACGGGATAACATAACTTGCAAAATAACATACTGTTCTGTCGGTATGTTTTACAACGTACTTTTACATAAATAATTTGAGACTGTACATATAATGAAAATCTTAATTTCAGTAAATCCTGGTGGATGGGCACCAGCATCTGTTTTACGTGCGATTTACAAGAGAGAATATCCAAAGTTCCTTAAACGTTTCACCAATTTTTGTATCGAACAATGCAAAAATAAGCCAATTACATTCTGAACGTGATTTATAGGATTTAAAACAAATTTTCTATACAATTCCATCTTTACACTTCATTCAAAGTGTCTTGGTAAGGTTATTCTATAAAATCTGCAAATCTCTTCTAATTGCAGACATTTGTGAAACACTTTTGGATTATATTATAAAGTGTTTTATATACTATTTTTTTTATTTGCTTAAAATATAATGTATATATATAATATAATATATATATATACATACATACGGTTTAAGAAAACGAAAATGGAAAAAAAAAGGAAAAAAAAGAGAAAAAATAAAGTTATTATATTATTATCTCATCGATAATATCCAGAAGCGTATAAAAAGTTTATATGCTTCAAGAATCAACTGTATAACGTGTAGTATAATACACCATTCAAAACTAAAAAACTTTTGTCTTCACACACATATACACACACACATTATACACGATAGCATAATTGCTTGTTGTTTCATTGTTATACAGAATGATATTGAAGTCAAGTTGTACAAATGGAAAAAAAACAAAATTAAATACATATACATTTATCTACTGTTATGTCGTCTAATCCATATGAGAATGCAAAATTGTATAATACAAATTAAACTGTTATTTTTATTTATACATAAAAATGGTGTACATAGATACACAATATAAAGGTTCCCCCTCATATATGGCGTAACGCATAATAAAGACTGTTGTAGATTAATCATAATTTGGAATTATTTTATGTTGCCATTGTATTAAAAGCTATGTATAAAGGAATTCAAAATCAATTTAACCTTGTATATATTTCATTTCAACTATCATATTAAGAGGACAACAACAAAATATATCTGTAAAGATTATGCGTCTTGTCTTCTTTGCAAACAATTAATTTCTAAGATCTCAAAATTATCGTGGAAGACTTTTTAGAAAAAATACATTTACTTCTAATTATTTATTTAAGTAACAATAAAAATGAAATAAACACTGAAATATCCATCCTTATCCATAAACCTACTTTTTACAAGAACAATGTAGACAATTTTTTTTGACAATCCGTGTCTTTTGTAAAATGTAAGGAAACTTAAGAAAAAAAAAATTAAAAAATGTTCTCCCCTCTTCTTCTATACTTTTATAAAATATTTAATACTTTAGAGTAATTAAATTATTAAATGCATGAGGTTTTATATCAACTATTACTTAATCGTAGTTTTATATTTTTTTTTTCCTTTTTTTTATATTATACAATATAAATCGCTTATTTAATTGATTTATCTAAGTTTTTTTTTATTTTCAACCTATGAATAAATTACTATGATGTATGTTTATAGAAATAGAAGTAAATCAATCAAAGTTTCTTTTTCAATAACAATTTCAACTATTGCATCGATTATCAAATTTATTTGACCGAAGTTAGGATCTATAGGAAATTGTCGTCTTTCTTTTTTTCTTTATTATTTTGGCAAAGAAGCAGCTATATAGCTTCGATAATAAATGTAAAATTTGACTAAATGAAAAAAAAATGATATTGATAAAAGTCATATTTATAAAATTCGACTTGTGGAATGCATATAAAAGATAAACTCCAGAGATTATGGATTGTTTTTTAAAATTATTTATACAGTATAAAATAATCGTGTGTTTCAAGTAAAAAATGTTCTATATTTTTTCATGATCCATCCGACTGTTAATTGTACTTAAAATAAAAATTCATTTAGTTCTTCATTATTCAATATGAAGAAATCTTACAGGTTGATTATATAGCTCTATTAATTGCACTAATCTGCATAACCAAAATAAATATTCTATTTGGCATGACATAGCCCTTACAGCAAACTCAAGCATTTTGTCTCTGTCTGTCTTAATGTTATCATTCAAGTAATTTGTAGTGTGTAAAACAACTTGACTATTTTTCATCACTTTTAGTCTGAAAAAATGTAACTTTTGTTTCCTGTTGCACCTTGCACTAAAATAGAATGTCCTTAAGATTCATAGGATCCTAATTTCTTTAATACACTAAGACCTTTCTCTTCGTATTCTTCTTTAGTTATCCATACGGAATCTCGATCCTTCGTTATTTCAGCTAATACAGCACCACCCATAAACACCATATCTTTACGTCGAGGTGAATCCTCGATTTTGATTTTAAATTTCTATTAAATGTAATAAGAAGATGATTATTTGTAGAAACCATATTTCGAGTGTAGAGATAATAAATATTGTAATTTACTTACGTTAAGCTTGGATGTATCATTCTTAAGAACTTTCTGTAAATAAAGTTGCTTAATCTCTCGTTCAAGTCTAGACGGAAGTCCTGGGTACATCGTACTTCCACCGCTAAGAACAATATGTTTGTACAATTCGCTTCTGATATCGATATCAGCTGCTTGAATTGTACTAAATACTAGCTCGGCGATTCCCTGAGCTTCAACGTTTATTAAACGAGGTTGAAACAATGCTTCTGGTGCTGAAAATCTTTCACCACCTACTTTTATCACTCGACCATCTGGAAGCTTAAAAAAACTATTAACAATGATGAACGAAAAAGTAAAATAATACATAGCATTCGACAAGTATTAAAACTTGAAAATATTTTATTTTAAAATTAAATAGATCGTTGAACTTACTGTATAAGATTCCACTAAGACAGTAGTTTCGCGAGCTAGTTTTTCTTCAGTTTCAATATTATATCCAATATAACATAATTTCTCTTTAAGCATTCTGACCGTTTCAAAGTCAGCAGAATGGTTGAAGGCATATCCGCGTAATAAAAGTAATTTTATTAAATACATAGTAATGTCACGACCAGCGATGTCTAATCGACGTGTCAAATGAGGCAAGGCATATTCCTCAAATACTGGACAAATATGTGTTACTCCATCACCAGAGTCTACCACAACTCCACTAATTAATCCTTGAGCATATAGTGTAAGCACAGCTTGTATCGCAATATATGTTCCAGCGAATCCATATTTTTCAAACATCACCTACAAGAAAATAATAAAAACAAAACTTTATTATGAGAACATAAGTAAGTAAATAATAAAAAGATAATATATATTTTACCTCAATCATTTTCTCTCTATTCGTGATAGGATTCATTGGCGGTTCAGTCAACAAAATTTTACATTCTCTAGGATTAATATTCATTTTTTCTTTTCCGAATGTATAATCCCAAACATGACACATATCCTCCCAATTTCTAATAAAATGTTACATTGTTTATAATGAAATAAATAAAAATAAGAGAGTAATTACATATTAAACTCTTTACACATACCTAACAATTCCATTTTGCATGGGATAACTAATTTCTAACATGGAACGAAGTTTACTCGCTTCATCTCCAACCATTAAGTCCTGTCATAATAATTCATCAAATGCGATTAATAGTTTTTTCAATGAATTAAAATATTAGAAACTAAGATGCAAAGATCATTGTTACTGTTGAGATAAATTAAATAGAAAACTTTAGATTATGAATGATCAAACATTGCACATGGCGCTTGTGGATGTTTGCTCACATAGTATTGGTATTTTACAAATCTTATTATACAATATTCAGACTCAAAAACTCGTATAATCTTATTCATTGTTATATGCCTATAAATTGCCAATCTAAGTTAATAACAAAAATAAAAATCATTGTAATATATTTTGTTTCAATTTATCCTGATCATAACTAAAATATGAATAAAACGAATAATATAAATGGAATGAAAATTACTTAATTTGATTAAATAATGTTCAAATTTGAAAAATGTATATATATTTAGGAATTATTTCAATTGATTAATTAATTATTAGAGATTACATCTCCATTTATATTCACTAAAAAAAGGAATTATTATTATAAAAATTCGGTAATGATCAATCAATGAAATAGATGTACAAATTAGCATCAAAAATACATTAAACTTACAGGCATGTTAAGCACATCCTACGAGAGCAAATGTAAGCACACAAACATATTAGATATTTTGTCAAAAGCACAGTATATACACACATACCGATGTACCAAAAATGGGCTAAAAAACCTAATAACAAATGTCTCTCCTATTTTCTTCTTTTGATAAATGTAGACAAGCAAAAGACTTTCAACAACAGCATCAGGTAGATGCATGAATATAACAAATTAATAAAAATTTGGATTCTCACAACATAATGTCGAGATAAATTAAAAATATTATAATAATTATATAGATAATAATAATCTTACATTTGTGAAATACATTCCTTTTTTTTTCAAATTTTTGTTAATAAAAGTCAATTTTGGTTAATAAGTTCAAACCCTTACATTTATATTTATGTCAGTAGGAAAATATAAATAAGCTTTTAAACGCAATCTTTTTTTTTTTTAATTTCATCGAGCCACACGTGGTAACATTATAAATTGACTTACACGAACACAATATTCTTGCTGAAAATATAATTTTAATATATTAATAACTTTATTTATTATATATAAATATATTTTCCAAAACTTAATGATTAATTTTTCTCTTTATAAAATTGCTAAGAAAAAAAAGTGATAATAACGTCTGTTTGCTTGTAACTTTGCACGAGTATAAATAATCAGAGATAAATTTGCATTAACTATAAATCAATATTCTATTAATATCGATACAAAAATGAAGAAATCTGTAATATGTGTTTCTTATATTTAAGCATAATAATTACCAATTAATTTAACTCATTTTGATCATTATTTTTTACTGAATAAAACTGTAACGGTGTCTATTTGTAAAAATAAAATAATGGAATAATAGAAAAAGTGAAAAATAAAAAGAAAGAGTATAAGAAATAAGTAAAAAAGAAATAAATGAATAAAAATAAATTTAATCGCTTCCAATAAAAGCTAACTATAAATCATGTGTAGATATATGTTAATACACGTTTTAAATTAAGCGCATTAATATAAACAAAAGTAAAATATGTACCTTCACATCGATGTCTCCTATTTTGTTAACGGCCCTTATGATTGGACGTCCAACTATTGAAGGAAATATATGAGCAGGAAAATTTGCTCCTGCATATCCACATTTGACGAACTAAAATAATAAATCAAATTAGGAACAATGAATATCAGAAGAAAAATATAGAAATGTGTTATTTTTATATATTTATATAGTTAATACTTGATCAATGAGATGATCTAAAATATTAATATATTAATATCTATGTATTAAATATTCTTTCTATGTATATATATGTAGGACAATCCATTTAAAAAAAAGGGAATTCTAAACAATGTTTAATATAAAAAAATATCATTTAGAAATATGCTTACCCCATTCCATAAATAATATATTAATAATTATATATATATATATATATAGAACAATGTGTTAAGAGACAAAAGTGGACTCAAAAAAATATGTATTATAATAAATGACATAATTATATATATTCTTACCCCGGTTCCATTATCACAGACAATAATTTTTCTTCCCTTGCTATCCATTTTATAAAACAAGAGTCAAATACGTTTTGCAACCCTTCAATTTCTAAATTCAAATAATATTTATATCGCACATTCCGTGAAATGACTAATTCTTACAGTTTAATAGGGCGTTACCGGCATGACAGTATACGAATAAAGGAAATGTGATTACTGTACAATAGTATTTTACGATAAAATCCAAACAACAATATAATACCACTGGCAGATGTAACTTATCTTCGAGTAGGTAAGAGTGTGATTTACTTGATAGCAGATTTTTATCTTATCATGAAACAACCCATTGGTCTTAAACACAGTCTTAAGCTCATATTGAATTAGTATTATGCACCAATATTGCACTGTTGTAGAATAGTTGATTTTTTTTAAGTTCCATTTACAATGCATAAGCTAACGCGTGCATCTATAATCCCATTGGCTAGATTTTGTTCATTGTCTAATCGAATTATTAGCGGGAAATTTGAATTTGCGTGACAATATACAAATATCTTAAGATATTGAAATTTCAGATTTGTTTAAGTTTATTTTTTATACAATTTGTTTATATTTTTTTTATCTTGCAATTGTTTATTTTTTTAAATGTATTCAATGAAACTTCTGTATTAGGTTTGATATTTGTAATATTTTGTAATTTCTTGATAAAATAATTTTGAAAATTTGAAAAGTCAAAAACTTGAATGATGAAATTATATAAACATTTATTGAAATGGTTTAATTACGTCGTATAACCTCGATTATAGAATGTTTTCAATAATCGTCCTTGATTTTTTTTAAGTAACCACTTTTTCTAGTTAAATATCCATAAATATAAATTACTTTCCGTTGTATAATATTGCAACAGTTATAAACTGTTACAATAGAATAAGCGTGCTTTAAAACTCAACTTGTAGTTAACTGTTAAAGAATTCCCTTAAAATGGCCCAACCAATTGCTTATTTAACAAGAAAAGAATCAATATCCAGCTGTCACAGGTTGCACAGGTATCAATAATTTATATATATCAATATCTTTTTTTTATACTACAAAATTAAAAAAATAACAAGTATCATTTTTAATAAAATTTCACTTTGTATCGTCGTTATAGCCATCAGCTGAGCGAAGAAGAAAACAAAGAAATATATGGAAAATGTAATAATTTTTGGGGACACGGACATAATTATACAGGTAATTTCCATACAAAATTAATAATTTAATTTTATAAATACTACAACAAAAGTTTCAATAATTGCAGTTGAAGTGACAGTCCGTGGACCCTTAGACCCTAAAACTGGTATGGTTATGAATATATCTGATTTAAAAGTGTACATGAAAAATGTATTGATGGATAGACTGGATCATAAAAATTTAGACAAAGATGTACCTTATTTTAAAAATGTTGTATCAACTACTGAAAATTTAGCTATATATATTTTCAATGAATTGAAAAAAGAATTACCTAATCCAGATTTATTGTATGAAGTGAAAATTCATGAAACTGATAATAATATTGTTTATTATAGAGGAGAGTAAATGTTTCATCTGTTTCTTAATAGAAAAAAGGACCATTTAGAATGAAAGTGGTGTGTTCATTTAAAAAAAAAATTGTATAAAACATCACAATTTTGTTTTCTAAATTTTTGTTAATTGGACTTACACCAATTTCATGATAAACTACTTAATTATAACGGTACAAAGCAAATAATATAATATAAATGATTAACATTATTTCCATAAACAATATGGAATGTATTAAGGCTTCTTAAATTTTTTCTATATAGTTTATATATTTTTTATATCTCATATTATGTGTTCTTAAGATTTAACATATTTAATATATATTTTTAATACCTTTATTAATCTTATTGTTACACGTGTATTATTTATATCGTTAATTTTAATACACTGATACGAATCTTTGACTTGTATATTATTTATATATATATATATTTAAATGTATATATATATGTCTTTTCTAAGTTTTAAGTATGCAAATCTGATATTATATATGTATGTGTACATAATATATACTTACATATAAATAATATATACGTATAACTACAATATATATATATATATATATATATGTTCTTCTTATCCATGCTCAATAATGCAATATACTTTTAAAACATATAGAAACTTGCAATATAATATCATGCACATTTATGGAATACTATACGATAGTTAAATATCACAACATATGTTTTAGTATCATTGTAAATTATACATTATAAGTACAATATCAATTAAAGGAAATTTTCTTGAAGACGTTCGCTTTGAAATATTCATTTCAATTAGCTGAATGAAATACAATTTAATTGTTTATACATATTTAAGTTCAATTCTCAATTAATGTACTTACAATTTTATAAATAATCATACATTTAATAAGTTAATTATCACATTGTCTTTTTTTTGGACAAATTATATATGATAAAATATTTAAATAAATTTTAACAATTAAATTAATTTAAAAACGAATTTAAATAAAAGATTTTTTAAAAATAAAATTTCCAATATATACATATAATAATTAATTTAAATATAAGTAATCTCCATAATAACATACGTTATCCTCTCACATACTGTTTGATATAACAATCTTACATTCAGCTCAAATGTATAAGAACGGATTTTGTATAAAATAGATATACAAAATATTTTGTGTTTAGCACGCCATTATTGTTGTTCGTTTTTTAATCGACTACCGTTTTATTATTCGATAATAAATGCACGTTATAGCCTTACTGACATGATACTCGATGTTAATTATATGTTGCTGTTTGTATCAATTTTAACATAACTTTTAATTGTTACGTATGGTATACCAAGTTCGAAATCATTTCTCGGCCAATATCGAAGTATAGGCGATTGTTGTGGTCTTTCTTCCTTCACGGAAAAATAAGCAAAGAGTACTGCTGCTGTATAGCTTGCTATGAAAATGAATAGATGCCATAAGGCATGAAGATATGGGAAATTTAAATTTAACCAAGTATCACAAAACAAACGATCATTTAACCAACACGCGACAGCTAAAATCCAAACAGCAGCACAACGAAGACCCAGTCTGTAAACTCTCATCGATGTTGTTCTTTAAATAAAAATATGTAAATTCAAATCAACTGACTGTTAAACATGATAAAAATATTTATAAATACAAAGCATACCTTTTAAGTTCTATTATCATAAAACCAAATGCTGGTATACCAAGGCTCATTAAGGCGAATGCATTTAATGCTGGATGTACCAATGCCAAACCAGTAGCGATTAATGTTGGAAAGGTAGCAAACATTGAAAAACGTTTTCTGTCATTACGGAAAACATTAGGAAAATATCTCCTTGGGAAAAACATACAAAAACCAGCCATATATACCCATAATATAGCTAACTCGTCCAAAAGCTGACCTGTAATAACAACGATTAACATTTTTGTTAATCAATAATATATTATATTTATTTTATTGATTTTAAATGCACATTTTACCTATTAAAGATAAAGTTGCATGAAAGTAGGCACTACTCACACCCACTATCATAAGTAGAAACCATATCACGTGAATTCCTGGATTTACAAATCTTCCATAATCACGAAAAAGATGCATTAATACAGGTGGAAGTAATAAAAATACTACATTACTCAACTGAAACAAAGAAAAAAAATAAATAAAGTTTGTTTCTACGAGTAAATAGAATATGAATGACAAAGAAAATGGCATGATGAAATGAGTCAACCTTCCTTAACTGATTGATGTACAGAATTATAGACAAAGAAAATTAATAAATAACAATATATATTAAATAAATTATATCACAAACCGTATTCATAAATTCTGCAATGCTTGGTGATATACTGTAATTTCCTTCGCACCAATCTACTGGAGAACTTCCAGCTTCAAACGGTTTCCACATGTTGATGATGTTTCTTTGTTTCCAAATATAAAATCCTCAATTCTATTGTGCAGATTTTTCTAGTCCTTTATATTCATATTCTACAAATAAAACGTTATATTTATATTAATAATTATATTAAAATACTTAAATAATATTATATTAAGACCAAACAAATGTTTGACAAGACAATGAACAATTTTTTTTTACCAAAATATAAACTACCTAAACAAAGAAAAATTGCAAACTCGACTGAGTTGCATAGCCGGAACCTGATGCATTTATATATGCATACTATGTCGAAAGAATTTGACAAACAATATAAACAATGTCAGAAATGATTAAACGCATTGAGCTATTTCACAATTTATTTTTTACATTATTATATTTATTATTATTAATGTAATTAAATGTTAAAAATATTAATAACAATAACTCTTCAATGTTCTGAGTTTTGAGATGGTGCCAAGAACTGTCAAAACTATTGAACACTATTTATATATATGAATGTGTGTATATATCACGATTTCTTTTTTAACCAATGAGAGGTTAGGAATTTCTCTCTTTTAAGTCCTATTCATATGAAGAGTTTTGCTTTGGACTATACGATGTAGTTACATGAAAATAAGTTGTATCTGATATACGATTAATATAACGCATTGATATTACGGAAAGCAAATACGGAGATTTATTTACTAGGAATTTCATTAATTATTAAACTTTACAAATATGTAAGCAATATTAATTTTAATATTAATTAAAATATATAAGAATTTGATTGAGATTTTAAATTCTATACTGCGTAATAAATAACTTTTGTTTTGTTTAAATAGGTTATGTATTGCAAACCATGATATTTATTTTATTATAATAAATTTGATATAAGTTTCAATGTTTTATGAAACACAGTGTATTTATATATTACTTTTTTATAATAAAATTTTTTTTATTTTCAATTTTTTAGGTCATCCTTAACGAAACCTAAGTCAGAAATGACGCCAGAAGAATTAGCAAAGAGGGAAGAAGAAGAATTTAATACTGGACCGCTTTCAGTATTAACTCAATCAGTTAAGAATAATACACAAGTTTTGATTAACTGTAGAAACAATAAAAAGTTACTTGGTAGAGTAAAAGCATTTGACAGACATTGTAATATGGTATTGGAAAATGTAAAAGAAATGTGGACGGAACTACCACGTACCGGTAAAGGAAAAAAGAAGGTAACTAATATTTTACATATTACAAATGTGTGATATGAATTAGCCTTTTCATATGTTTATTTTTTTTAGGCAAAACCTGTAAATAAGGATAGATTTATCACAAAAATGTTTCTTCGTGGAGACTCTGTCATTCTAGTTCTTAGAAATCCTTTGGCAACAGCATCAGGAAAATAATTTAAACAATAGATTACCAAACAACTACATTGGATTTCGTTATACTAAAGAATAAATGTTTTAATATAAATTACTCAATTATGACGTTTATTAATTTATTGATAAACCAAATGCACCATTTCATGACATACATTTGTTTAAAATTTTGTAAGTAATGAAATAAAATTAATAAAACCTTTTTATAATGTATTTATTAAGAACCTTACGTGAAATTATCAATCCTTTTCAGCAATCGTTGTTAAATGTTTATCAATTTCTTGTTCCGTCAATACGCTATAAAAACAAGAAAAACTGTAGATTGTTATCAAATGATATATTTTTATAAATCATTAAAATATACAATTACCGAAATTTAGGATTGTCCTTGGATACCACACCAACCTCTATTTCTGTTGGTTTAAAATCAACAGACAAAACAGTTGATAAACAAGTAATAGCTAATTGAATAGTCTCATCAAAATCGTAATTTTGTTTCTTCTTTAACTTTTTCTCCAAATAAGAATTAGCTTCCGTTTGCTTAGCACCCACAGATATAGCTTTATATCCGCAGAAATAACCAGCCGGATCAGTTTTATAAATACACGGACCCTTTTCTTTATCATATGCAATAAGCATCATTGAACATCCCAACGGTCGCATTTCTGCATTTTGTGTGTATACCTGACTAATATCTGCGACACGTCGACATAATACATCTACTGGTATTTCATAACCATGTTTATATTTAAAATGAGCAGCTTCGTATCTTGCTCGTTGTACTTGAGATTTGCTATCGGCTATAAAAAATAAAGAATATAATTATAATTAATTATAATTAATTATAATAAACCAAAGAACATAAAAAATACGAATTAATTTACCTATCATGCCTGTCATAACACAGCCAATGTGTTCTGTAAGTTGGAATACATGGGTAACACTAGAAGCATCTAATAACTTGTCCTGAAATGAAAAAGTTAATAAAAGTACATAAGATTTATGATTGCAGTTAGTTAATCTTATTGAAATATATGTGAGAAAAGAGGTTATCTTACAGGTACTTTCTTTTGTGTCGCGAAAACTGCAGTATCTACACCTTTTACTGCGACAGATGTCAAACCACCTTGATTAATAGCTTTAAATGCATATTCTGTAAAATACAAAAATAAATGTAAAAATAATCATTAAATAAGTTTGAAAAGTTCGAATACGCCATGTCATGACACAGTAATGTAAAAACTTGAAAGTTAATATTTTAACTTTAATTAAAAGTACAATAAATTTAGTATAGATTGTAGTTTTAAATCTAATTTTTTTTAATTACTTACCTACTTGATAAAGTCGACCTTCCGGCGAAAAAATAGTAATGTGTCTATCAAAACCTGCACTACTACCTCGCGCCATGTTGATATAATAACTAAATTTTCTTGGGTCTTCAATGAAACGTCAACTCATGCTACCAATCATTCCTTCTATAATTTCTACTTTAATATTTATTATAATTATTATTATTTTTTTATTTATATTTTAATGTATAATGTACAAAAAATATTGCATATTTTATTATCATACTTTTAATTCGTTATCATTTTTAATTTAACGTAAATCTTACTTTTGATTTAATTTCTGTTCACTAGAGACCCTTTAGGAGGAACGCGCCATATATATTGCTGGGGTTGCTATTGGCTGAAAATTTGGGGGGACAGCTTCAGATGCAACGCGCAGCCATGTTTATCTTTAGTATGTTTAAATAACGGCTGTGGTTAGTTAAAGTATGGAATACTTATAGTTTTTATTGTGATATTTATATTTAATTGTTTTTTTTTTTTTNCTGTGGTTAGTTTAAGTTTGGAATACTTATAGTTTTTATTGTGATATTTATGTTTAATTATTTTGTTTCTTTTAGTAGTTTTCTATAAGTGTAAGTTTAATTTACTCATTTAATAATTACAAGTGTATAAATGTACAAACCTAACCTATAACTTATCGTTTGTTTACAGACTTATTGTTTGTGATAAATAATCATGGTATAAATATCATGGTTTTAATATTTTAAAACTAACGAAAATACTATCTAAAACAATAATAACCAAATATTAAAATACTGAATATAAAATACTAAAATATTTATCATTCAAATATTATACAATTTTTTTATTTTTCTAAAAATATATTTCCAGAAAGAAGCTTTTATTTATTTATTTTTTTTTTCTTGAGGTTTGTTTACCCGGGCGCTCAGTCTCTGGACCATTGTGCCCGGGCCCCTTGCAGGGAAAAACCTATGACCGTAGCGGTCCCGCGGGCAGCTCCGACTTCCTTGCAAAGCGCAGCAGTCTGGCCACCCCTGAGCCCACTAGGTCGAAGTTGTTGGCGGTGGTCCCAAGGACATCATTTCTGACGTCCGCGAGCCCAACACATTGAGTTATGAAATGGAGGGGGGTATCCTCCCCTTCGCCGTACCTGCCGCAAACCGAGTATTGTGCAAGGCCCAGTCGCGTAAAGTGCTTTCTAAGGTGCCAGTGCCCGGTGACCAATCCTACAACCATCCTCAATTGGGCTCGGTCCAGGTTGTTTAACTCGGTACCTAGCTTCCCCGAGGGCCCTCAAAACAGAGCCTTCGTGTGTCTCATGCCAGGGCTTTTCACCCAGAGATCCCTGAAGCGGTCCGTGGCCCACTTCTTAGACCTCCTCCGCATAAGCCCCTCTGACACGCTGATGTGGCATTGGTTTACCGGATCGTGCCGTGAAGCTCCAAGTCTGGCAAGCTCGTGCGCCCTTTTGTTTCCCTGAACGCCACTATGACCCGGCACCCAGAGCAACCTTACTCTGTTGACACTGCCTAGCCGTGTCAACAAGTCGACACAGTCCTTCACCAGCCCTGACTTGACCACGGCGCTGTGCACAAGTCTGAGCGTAGTGTTGCTGTTACTACAAATGTAAATATGTTTGCCATAATACCCCCTTTCCAGGATACTGTGGGCGCAGGCCCGAATGGCAAACAGCTCCGTCTGAAGAACAGAGGCGGTACCGGTTAGGGTGTAGGACAATTCGGTCCTAAGTCCTCCAGACCAGACCCCTGCTCCCGCGTTGGAACCCGCTTTAGCCTCATATGTATACCAGACGGGCTCTGCGGGTGCCAATAAATGATTTGGGTCCGCTGCCCATGACTGTCTGTCTGGAAAGAGGACCTCATAGTTGTGCTGGAAATGGTACTCCTTTGGGCATCAATCACCCCCAAGGCGGTTGACTTCTTCGAAGTCTTCCGTTCTTGACAGGATCGATGCGTGCCCGTAGGAGGCCCGCCTCCAGCTCCCACTGACTAGCAGTCTAAAGACTGCGCTTCTGGCTCTCTCCTCCGCTGCAATGTGTGGAGGTAAGATGTTGAGCAGGGCCCCTAGAGCCAGGGTTAGGGTAGTGCGCATCGCGCCTGTAATTCCCAGCCCTGTTAGCCTGTAGACCCTGTCTAACGCTTTTCTGTTTTGAGCCCGCTCGACGCTGGGCCACCAAACTAGGGAGGCGTACGTCAATTAAGGGACCAGTATGGCGGTGTAAATCCACCTAACCATCCATGGTTTTAACCCCCATGTCCTTCCAAACATCTTCTTGCAGGGCCAGAAGGTATTAATAGCCTTCCTGGCCTGGTTGTCGATGTGGCTTTTTCAACTGAGCTTGCTATCGAGCGTCACCCCTAGGTAGCGAACTTCCCGGGAGAACGTCAGCTCAGTTCCAAATATTGAGGGAGGCCTTATATTGAAATGCCTCTTACTCGTAAAGAGCACCATCTCAGTCTTATTCGAGTTCACTCTCAAAGACATTGACGTGCATTAATCCTGAACGATGTCGAGCGCTCTTTGCATCTTGCTCGACATCGTGGCCGGGTGATTGCCGGTGACCACTATGCAGATGTCATCGGCAAACCCAACCGTTTTAACCGCCAGCTCCCCGAGCCTACTCAGGAGCCCGTCGACAACCATGAGCCACATCAGTCGGGAGGTAACTCCACCCTGAGGGCACCCTCTGCCGACGTGCGCCCTGATGTCCGTCCCGCTGAGACTAGCAGTGATGATACGTGAGCGGAGCATAAAGTCCAACCACTGGACGATAGTGTCGTCGATGTGGAAATCCCTCGCTGCTCTGCATATAGCTTCGAAGGAGGTGTTATCGAACGCCCCTTCGACGTCTAAAAAGACACATAAAGTGGCTTCTTTCCTGTCGAGGGCATCTTCGATTTTGCGAACGAGGCCATGAAGAACCGACTCGACAGACTTACCCGCTTGGTAAGCGTGTTGCGATGGCTGCACCGACATCCTCGCCAGCGCTCCAACTCTTATAAACCTATCAACGAGTCTCTCCAGCGTTTTCAGCAGGAAAGACGTCAACTGATGGGCCTAAAAGCCTTGGCTTGGTCATATCTGTCTTTTCCCGTTTTTGGGATAAAGACTATTTTGATCTCCCGCCATGGCTTAGGTACATATTTCAAGGCGAGACACGTTCTAAAGACACGGATCAGATGCTTGACTAGCCTATCCCCTCCATTCTGAAGAAGGGCGGGGAAGAGCCCGTCAGTCCCCGGGCTCTTGTACCCGTCGAACGAGTCCAAGCTGCTCCCCGTTCGGGAGAGAGAGTCCACCGAGACTTGGTTGTGGGCCATTGGCGAGGACTCTGCGAAGTTTGGCCACTAAAGAAAGGGCCTGAACTTCAGAGCAGAATTTCCCCCAGGCCTCACGTTTAGATTTCTTAATGAGCTTCTTATAGGCCCTCTGCTCGTTTCTATAATTAGCCCAATCTTCAGAGCCATTTGATTTTAAGGCCTTATTTAGGAGGCGGCGAGAACTCGAGAGCAGTGAGCTCAACTCTTTGCTCCACCATGCTACTCTTGTCCTGTCCCCCCGTGTCCTAAGAGGGCAAGCAGCTTCGAAGGCCTGAGTGATGGAAGAGGAGAGTAAGCTCACTCGTTCCACGATCAAACCCTCAGTCCTTAATCCTCTGCCCATTCCCAGGAGCCTGCCTTCAAGATCCCTCTTGTAGAGAGCCCAGTCAGTGGCCCTTGGGTCTCGGTAGGTCCTGACGACGAGCTGTGCCCTCTCAGTCCTGAGCTTGAAGAGGATGCGGCGGTGATCCGAGAGTGAATCCTCATCGTCCACTCGCCACTCCTCAAGCCACCGAGCCACCCTGGGGGTGCCCAGTGTTAAGTCGATCACCTTTTGTCTCCTCGAGGTGACGAAGGTTGATCTGGATCCCCTGTTGAGGATCTCCAGATTCGACGACGAGAGGTATTCCAGCAAAGCCGTCCCTCTCTTATTTGTATTTGAGCTGCCCCATGCGACGTGGTGCGAGTTAGCGTCGCACCCGATCACAAGGTCCAGCACTTCTCTGCGGCAGTGTTCCACCACGGCCCTCAGTTCCTCTCTAGGCGGATGTTCGGCCGAGTCGTAGGGGAAGTACGCTGAACAGACGATAAGGTCGGTCAGCCCACCACCCAACCTTAACCTAACCGAGGCCACTGCAAGGTCTCTGCTGCAGAATCTGCTTAGCCTCAGGGCGTGGTGCTTTTTGGATACAAAGACACACGCCCTTGGGCCGGGTTCGCATGGGTCATATACCAATGTCCCCATGCTGCGATCTATCCCCTTAACAAGTCCACCATAGATCCAGGGTTCCTGTATGAGGGATATGCCTGTCTGCTCCACTGCTAGGTTCTGGCTGAAGCTTTTATTACAATTATCGAAAATTGGGAATTGATGTTGATGCCATTTTATGAAGATATAATACCCAGGAATCCTAGCTGATTTATTAATATTGGAAATTAAAAACAAATTGTACGAATAATTAAAATAATTGTAAATATAATATATATAGTAGATAATTGTATTTATCAAAATTGTATAAATTCCTACAAGTTGTTTTGAAATTTCAAAATACTGTAATGCCTTTTATCAAATCAAACTTAATTGAATCTTTCTTATTGAATTTATAATAATTTTTTTGTGTAACCTATTCTATTTTAATATAAATTTTTAATTATCATTAAATATAGTTCATTTTTTTTCTGTATTTGATGCAATTCATTATTTCATAATTTTTTCGAACCAATTCACCACTCTACCCCCTACACTATTCACTATTACTATATACAATTTTTATACTATTTAAAATATTTGAATCATTCGCGCGCAATCACGTGACTACACGAGTTCCTGTCCCCCAAAAATTCTTTGGCGCGTCCCTCCTATAGGGTCTCTACTGTTCACTAAATATGAGCGCGATAAGCATTAAATTTATTTTTATTATTTATAAAATAAGGATAATTTTTTTGTAAAAAAATTAATTATTGTTAAAATTAATAATTTAATTTGAATTATTATTTGAAATTTTTAAAAATAATTTTTTGAATTCGTGTTTTAAAATTTGTCCAAATATGATCTGTCTAGTTATACTTCTAAAGAAACGATTTTATTTTGGTCCATTATGTATAACTCGTAATATGCGTTAGTGTCTGCCAATTGTCGAACAGTTTGGTTGCATTCGAATATAACCTATTATTTAATAACAATAATAAGAATCTTGATTATTCTGGAAGTATTCTTAATTTAATAAAATGTCGACTGAAAAAGTAAATAATGAATGTGAATCAATTAAAGATACTGAATTGTCACCTGAAATGAAACAAGAACTTAAAGACAGAGCTGAAAGAAATAGACAAAAAGCATTATTATTGAAAAAGTCTAAAGTAGTTGTTCACCCATACAATAAAGAGTATGTTTAAATATTATAAATGTAAAGTTAATTAATTTGTTCAAATAATATTTTATATCAATTTAAAATAATTTTTGAAACATATTATTTTTACATTTTACTTGTTATTGTTATTTAATTTATTATTTTCATATCCTTTTTATTTTTGTAAAGAGAGAACAATGAATCATCTACGGGTAGAGCAATAAAGGTTCAAGGAAAACGTGTTGTTGATAGCGGAGGTGGATTTCTTATAGAAGAAAATGATGAATTGGAAAATGAAATGGTACATAATTGATAAGTTAATAACAATCTATAAATTTCTACTTTCTTTCAATATATTTTGTATATCTTAAAATTAATTCGATTTAAAAATATTGTCTTTTTTTTATTAGTTGAATATCGTTACACAACCTGCACCCATTATTAGTGCATTACCAATTTGTGATGAATGTAGTAAAGAATTTAAAGATTCTTACCTTCTTCAGACTTTTAATCTACAAGTATGCGATTTGTGCAGGTATTTAATATAATTAATATTAAAATTAACAAGTATGTTGTTCTTATTATAAATATTTTCTTTTTATAGAGATAGTGAGGGCAAACATTCTCTAATAACAAAATCAGAAGCTAAGCAAGAATATTTATTAAGGGATTATGATTTCGATAAAAGAGAACCAGCGTTAAAGTATATCACTAGAAAAAATCCTCATAATCCACATTGGGGTGAAATGAAATTATATTTACATTTGCAAGTAGAAGAGAGAGCATTGGAGGTTTGGGGCACAGAAGATAATTTATTAAATGAAAAATTAAAGCGCGAGGTGAAACGAGAGGAAACCAAAATGAAAAATTTTAATAAAAAAGTAATTGCAGTTATAATAACGATTTAAAAATTTCTTATCAATTCATTTCAATCGAAATGCAATATAAGAGTTTCAAAATCTAATATTGTTTATTTTTTAATTTAGATAAAGAGGCTAAGGATGCAAGTAAGAAGTTCTCTCTATAATAAATCGACTAAGGCTGATCATGTTCATGAATTTGGAGAGGAAACTTACAATGAAGATGATGATACATATTCCCATACATGTTTGTCGTGTGGGTATGATGAAACATTTGAAAAAATGTAATGTCTCTTTTGTATATTTTTTATATTTTTATTAAACTAATTCGAATCATTAAATATATTAAATTAAATAAATTATAATAAGTGAACAAATAACAAAGAAATAGAAAATAACAATTGGTATCTAAATCATTTTCATAGAAAATTTAGTATCACTTGTTCTCTGAAACAAGGCAATAATAAATGTAAACAAATAACATATATATAAAATAAAAATACAAAACATTAGAATATATTTAGAAATATTACTTTTGTACAAAATCTTTTATTTTTACATTTTCCAATTAGTTTATTTAATTGTTAACATAATCACATAATAATTAAAGAATTTTTTTTACATTTTAAAATAAACTTGTTTAATAAGATACATTAAAAGTGTCATTATATTCAACCTATTAAACAATGCAGTCTTTAATATTTTTTGTCAATAAATTTGATTTTTATAGGATTTTTTCAATTTGCAAAAGCAAATATTTTTTTGAGACAACGATTTATTACAATATCGACTCCAGATTTTCTATTACTTCATTGGCAAACATATATTAAGTTAATTTATTTCTATATTTCTTGATTTTCCCATTTACTTTCTACCTTGCCATTAATAATATTTTAAAAATTATTATTCATTTATTTAAAAAAAAAGAAGCAACATTATTTCAAGCATATATTGCACTATTTTTAGTTAAAAATATTACATTATCTGTAAAATAGGAGTTCTCATACTTGAATTATTTTCTATGTCTAGATTTTGATTGTGTTTGAAGAAATAAAAGAAAAATACATAATGTGATATTCTCATATACATTTGTACAAGTAAGAATTTACGAATATTAATCTAACTTTCATATATTTTCACAAATGACAACCAAAATATCCATGTAAAGACAAAATAATATTATAGTATAAAGTTATTCTAAGTCATAGAAAATAATTATATTTTAAATAAAATGTTAATATTATTATGACTATTATTATTATTATATACATTAGTATATTTGTTTTATGTTTTTAGGCTCGTATTTTCTTTTTAAAAAGTTGAAATTTCTATTGTTATGTTTATATATTTAATAAGAAATGTGTGGAAGAATTATTTTCTATTTTTTAATAGCGTGTTTTTTAGAAACCCACAAAAAATCATAAAGGCAGCCTGAAAAGTATCGTTTAGTTTTTCATAATCGCATTAAAAATAATACTTATACTTATGTTAATATTCTGAACATTGTTTTGGTGAAGGTAATGATATACTTGGAACAGATAATTTTTTATCTTTGTCACTTTGCACAATGCTTATAGGGTTGCTTACCGTGGTCGATGATCTGAAATTAAAATTATTAATTGATAGTTCAATGAATATCATCAAGGAATAAAAATGACATACCTATTATGCCTAAGATGACTTTTGACTAAATGTCCAGCTGTTAGAGCGGCCATTAGAGATAATTCTCCTGCAAGCACTGTAGCACAAACTATCCTTGCTAATTTACTAGCATTTTCACCAGGTTCTTCCATATTGGCTCCTTTCACACCTAACATAGCTAAACACGCACTTTGTGCGGGAAGTCCAGTCCCGCCGCCAATAGTACCAATCTCGATACTTGGCATTGTGCAAGAGACACATAAGTCTGTACCATCTGGTCCCCAAGGTTCCATTAATGTTATACAATTGCTACTACCGACGTTCTGTGCAGGATCTTGTCCAGTGGCTATAAAAATGGCAGTCACTATGTTCGCAGCATGAGCATTGAATCCACCTACGCTACCTGCTATTGCTGATCCTATCATATTTTTGCTTATGTTGACATCAACTAATGCATGAACAGATGTCTTTAATACACTTTTCACAATTTCTGATGGCACTACCGCTTCACACACTACACTTTTACCTCTACCTTCGATCCAATTTACAGCTGCTGGCTTTTTATCTGTACAGAAATTACCACTAAGTGATAATACTTCCATATCGGGAAAATATGTTTGAAGAGTTTGCAGCGATTTTTCTGTTCCTTTTGAGAGCATATTCATTCCCATGGCGTCGCCTGTTTTAGCTACAAAGCGAATAAACAAATACCTGCCAGCAATACGTGCATGGATTTTGATCAATCTAGCAAATCTACTAGTTTGATCAAAACTAATTTTCATTTCTTGAAAATTTTCTTGTTTTTGCATCCATGCCATAGCTTCGCTAGCTCTTACAATGTTTGGAAATCGGACGACAGGTCCTCTCGTCATACCATCTGCTACTATACGACTTGTAACTCCACATTTCAATAATGCTCTACTACCACGATTAGTAGATGCCACTAAACATCCTTCAGTCGTAGCCATAGGAATATGGAAATATTCTCCATCAATCAGTAAAGGTCCAGCAACGCCAATGGGAATAGGAATATAGCCAATAACATTTTCACAACAAGATCCTAATACTTTAGTATAATCATAATTTTTATATGGTAATTCTAGTAAATAATCGGTAACATTTCCACTGGCGCCTAATAAGAGCCGTCTGATGCCGACGCCTCTTTCCATATTTCCAACAGCTTTTTCCAATTGATATGCAGGTATATATTTATGTTCTACTAATTTCATTATTTCAGTATCTGTCAGTGCACTTGCTCCAAGCTATAAAGAAATGAGAAATATTACCATTTTATTATAACATTTATTATACAGATATTATTATTTTGCTTACCTCGGATCGATATATTTCAAGACACTCTTCCAGATTTCTCGGTTCAACAGATCCATGCAGTAGGTCCGTATTATTTGATGAATCTATTGAACTTTCTTTTTCATCGACTTGTACTTCTTTATCAACAAGTTCTACGTTATGTTCATTTTTCATTTCTATCCAATCTCCATTTATTTCAGATAATGGAAAAACTGGTCGTTGGATAGACATTGTCACTCCGAATCTTTGTTTTAACGAAACATTCATCTTTTCAGTACTTTCCGATTCGATGATGTTTTGTGTATCTTCTTGAAATCTCAACTGTCTCGCTATATCTTCTTTATCTTCGAAGAAAATAATTTTTATAGACAGTGCCAATAGCAGGATCAATATAACAATATTGTCCGCACTAACTGATATCCAATTCATTAAATATTCTTCTATTTCTGAATTTTTTTCCGTTTCGTTATATGCATTTACTACAATATGTGAATTAGTTGATACTGAACTTTCCACTGTATGCTTATTTCCATCATTTTTAAATGGCCAACGGCTGCAAATTAAATTACGACGAAAATATAGAATATGAATATCACTATTAAAAACAGAAAAAAACAAAATATATATCTACATTTAAATACTATATTATTATAATGTAGGATGTTCACCCATCAATGGTTTTTCTTAGACTGAAACTAAGTTAAAGATGATGAAAGAAACGTGATAAAAAAGACTAGAATTATGTCCTATTTATTTTTAAACTCTCATTTCACTCTGTATAGAATGCCAATACATTTTTCATGTAATATATACACTCGTCATGAATTGACATTATATTTACATATATTATACATCCGTGTAACTATTATGCATTAAATTTTTTTTTCTTACAAAAAAAAACAGAAAATAAATTATCAAGTATTTTTTTAATGAAATTTAAAAAATTTAAATATATTCTGACAGCTTGATGAAAGACTGAAAAAAAGAAGAAAAAGAAAGAAGATAAATTATTGTATGGCTAACAACAACAAAAAATAATTTAAAAAACAATGCATATTATATTTAAATATATTATCGTTTAAACGTGAAATTCGTTAATTCATGAAGATACGCAGAAATATTTGAAATATACGATATTTAACAATAGCCATTGAGCCATTCATTGAATATGAACTAGATGTATGCCTATGTCAGTGTCACGATGTGAACCTGACCTGTTAAATTTAGGAATAAATACTGCCACACAATTGGAAAAATAAAACTGTGTGTAGTAAAGGTCAAAGATGGAAGCGATAAACTTTTTTCCTTTCTTAGAACTTTATAGAAAGCTCGTTGTGTTATACCATCAAAGATTGAGATGCATAAAAAGATAAAGTATTTTTACACTAGAGGAAAAAGAAAAAAGAAAAGGTTATTGTTAAAATACCTGTTTGCATGAACCACGAATAAACCAGCAATCATAATAAGTTTGACACGTTCTATCACAGGATTTGATTTTTGTTCCTCTTCGTTGAAAGAATATATCATAAAAATTTTATCTGCACTTAATGGACCCTTATTGTTATTTCCTCGAGAAAGCTAAAAATTATGAAACGTTTAACATATTATATTTAAAAAAGAAATATATATATATAAGAGTAAAAAATAATTACCTCGAGAAAAAGTGATAAGCAAGCAGGATATAATGTCAAAAACACTAAATAATTTACTATTGCACCAAGACACGCGAAACTGCAGAGTAATTCCAGACGTTTAACGCCTGATAATGAACCTATTCCAATAAGAAGTGTTTCAACTATAGTATCTAATGTTATAGTTGGACCCAAAAGAGACATTCCATGAGCAATATTATCACGTACTTCTTCTTGATTTCTAGAACTTAAAGCTAACTGTGCTAAGACAGAAGCTTTCGAAAGATCCATTAAAAGAAGAAAAAAGAAGAATGCATCCCTGTAAATAAATAAATAAAGAATTTATTTATAGACAAGAAATTAAATAATCAATTTTATGAATCAAGTAACTTACTTTAAATCGAAGATGTTACTGAAATTTACGACAATCGATGTAAATATTATGCTTGAAACAACTGTAAACAACCCGCCAATACCTGGATATAAAACAAATAGAAAAGATTTAATTTCTATGTTGATTTATTTAAGAATTTTATTGTTATCACTAATAAATATTAATAATCATAAGAAAAAAACCCCTAAATTTATAACATAATTATAAATAATTAATTAATATATGTTATTATTATTTGTATGCAAAGAAAAGTTTTAATTATTAATAAAAACTTTCTCTTTTACGTTTAAGCTTTCACATTTACGAAAGCGTCACCCTATAGATAATATCTAATAGATCATTGTTAATTACTCAAAATAATCTTTTTTTATTGTGATTAATTATTAATTAATTACTATATATAAATATTAATTATTATCTTACCTAATATATATTTCGAACCAAGTTTTTTGAGATGTCGAAATTGATGATACGTAAATAGAATTGCGAGACATCGTATTATAGTCATAATTATAATATCAGCAGCGCTTGTATCCTGTGATCAATTAATAATACATTTTATTAAAAACACATATATACATATTTTAATAATTATAAATAGTTAATTATTGTCGGCTCCTCAAAGGTAACACACTAGTGTTTAAAAAGTTAAATAATATTATACAAAATAATTTTAATATTATTTTTAAAAAATATTTGTGTGTGTGTGTGTGTGTGTGTACAAATACAAGGTCGTATTCATGAGTGTGTGAACTATGCGATGGTACGAAGCCCTGTTCCATTGAGGGCATCGCTAAACGCAATAGATTGAAAAAAGAAAATCAATTAATTTGGTTTGTAATTATAGAAATGAATATTTACATGCAGAAATATTTTTGATATTTGATTTAATTAATTAAGAAGATATTTTTCTATAAATGTTTTTCTATAAATTTCAATAAATGTTACTAATTTTCTGGAGTCTATCTAGATTGTTCATTTTGTACAAAGTTTCACAAAATATAGAAACGAGCTTGTATGCGTACATAAATATTTAATTTTATTTATTAATATATTAATAATAACTTACATCAAGATTACACCGACTATGCCGACAATTCAATGATACAGGTAATACACCTGGATTACGAGTTTGTCCATTCGAAGTACCCATATTTACCATACAAGCAGTAACGGTGAGAGTTGTTACGATCACTTCTAATGGATGACTAGCACAAAATCTGCCATGTTTTTCAAAGAGTTTTGATAACATTTTGTCTTCTTTGTTCCTTTTTTTATCAATTCCCTTTCTCGCAATATCCAAATCTAAAAATTATTAAACATTTATCTATACTACGAGTCATTAATTTTGAACTTGAAAAAAATTATATCCTTCAAAAAATAAATGGTAAGTAAAGTGATTGTATTATCTTAATTATTATGTTTAAGTGGTTATTGTGTTCATATAATAATTATAATATTTTATCTAAATGCTTAAAAAAAGTTATTAGAATGAAATTATTACAATTTACATTATCTTCTTACAATTAGTCAGTTGTGATAAACTTTTAAGAAAGAAAATAAAAATAAAAAGAAAAAATAACAAAACGAAATTAAAGGGTGGTGCACGATTGAAAAGAAAGTCAAAAGAATTTTAGAAGAAGAAAAAAAAAGCAGTTAAAACAATAACTCCGTTATTAGGAATTCTTTGATATCTAATTTCGAAATAAAAAAAATCATGCATGTCTGTCAAGGTTGGTGACTTTCTAAGAGTTAACTACTCTTAAGAGTTTCCACATACTTGGTTGAACACTGACCCTTTTTCACGTTCAATGATAATCGTAATAACATCGACTTAGCTTGATGGTAATATTGTTTTCAATTATTATTAATCATTTATATTTAGAGACACACAATAATAAAAAACAAATTCGTTAAAAAAAAATACTAGTTCATATAAAAAATATAATTATCAACGATGCTGAATAATTTAATTCTGTCGTTCAATTTCGAAATAAATAAAAAAATTAAATTTTAAAAGAAACTTTTAAATTTAAACGCAAACTTTTTTTACGTTTGTAAGAAAATAATGTTTTGTCAGTATTTGCGGTAAAGTTTAGAAATATGAAAATATCTCTTATAATTGTTGAATAAAGTATTTTTAAAATAAATTAATAATAATAATAATAATAATAATAATAATAAATTAAAAGGTAATTCATTTTTCTTCTATAATAAAGTTTTATTAAAATTGTTAGAATGGTACTTATCCTGCCACGTGAAAATTAAGTTTAGACGATACGACTAATATCAAATATCAAAGGGTCATCATTTTAATTGATAAATTTACTAATAAAGCTAAAAAATTCATTACAGAAATGTTATTTTTATCAAGTAAAAAATACCAATTCTTTTTTGTATTATCTGCATAATTCTATTTTTTCCTCGATTAAATTATTATTATTAAAATAATTATTAATTTCCATTTTTTTTCTCTGCTTTCAGTCTCCATTATTTTATATTATTTTTTCATGATAATTATCCCACAAAAAATATTTTAACGTCTGTCACCCGTGACTGACGCGGTCTAACGAAAAGTTATACTTTACAAAAATTCAAAGTCGATTTTCTCGAAAACAAAGCCTCAAACGAAAAATTATTATTCTTTATTTTCGATTTATTTTTTCATGTAGAATCACCCCCTTTTCGCTTGTACCATCAGTTACAGATCACCCTGTATAGATATAAATTACAAATTATAGATAATATTTTTGACTACGTGGCACGACTTTAGTAATTTTTGATAAACCAATTTGGCCTAAGAAAAGATTTATAATAAAAATTTATCTCATTTATAATCAAAGCAGAAATAACAGTAGAATACGTTTAACGAATAAGTCTAAAAAACATTGTTATCTATAAATAAATAAATAAAAAGGGCCATTAAACTATTTACCACTGAAAAAGATAATTTAATAAAGAAAAATATTCAAAGTACGGACATAACCGCGTTAAGCCGCAAAAACCACATAATCTTTCTTTCTCTCTCTCTCTTCTACATATTAGAAAATCATCTTCTCAAAAATTATTACATCTTCGCCTTGTAAAATACTTATTTTGACCAACTGTTACATTACAATAAGCGATAATATATTGTTGTAAACACTTTCTTTGACATTCACCTTTCACACAAATGCAAATATTGCAATGCCAACGAAACGCATGAAAACCAACTCTCTCTCTCTCTCTCTCTCTCTTTCTTTATCTTTGTATCTTTCTTTTTCATACACTTTTCTACTTAACGTTTCTCTTCTCGAATACATTCAACTTGCACAAACCAGGAGAGAGAGCGAAAGATCGTTTCTCATCAGTGGGAGGCAATTTTTTGAACTTGAAGAGAACTATTCATAGAAGTTTAGCACAAAACTAGACTTTCGATAGTGATGCGTTCTGCTTTTATGCATTGCTTCGCTAAATTAATGTTTATTGTTATTACTTTTACCATAAACAATTCGAAGATTAAAAAAAATAATTATTTTCTAATAAAAACCATTGTTTATTATCTCATATTGCGTTCCGAAGAAAAATACTCCTTCTGCTATTCCACCATCTTAGTTCCTCTTCTAAATAATTCCTCAGAAAATAGATTATATTCTGTTTTTCTTTTACAATCTGATAAGTCTCTATATTTTTCTAAAATACATATACATACACGCACATTTTTAAACGAATAGAATACTACGAAATAATCGCGCCAAAGTTTTGATTTCATTTCCTTGAACTTGTATTTATGTGTATACGCAAGCTTATGTGTGTATATTTGAAGATGATTCTTTTCAAAGAACGAAATCATATTCGTAGAAGTTCAAAGTTAGAGCTTAACGACGACGACGCACATGCATATCACAATATACATGTACATATATGTGTATATAAGTGATGCTGCTTATTGCAATAAACCACGTGGCATATATTTATGTATTTATGTATATATAAATATATTTTCGTTTCTTTTTAAATGGTATATACGTATAATGTCACACACACACAAAATCATACCTGTTTCGCCCTCAGTTACTGTCGACGAAGATGACAATGATGATGTTTGCTTCTCAAAGAAAGGACCGAGAGAAGCTTCAATTTTTGTATCTTTCCTCATTCTTTTTCCTCTTTTATGTGTTTCTTTTTACCACTTTTTATTTTTTTTTTTAAATTAAGAAAAAGAAAAAAAAACAAAATAGTAACAAAACTTTATAATGATGAATCTATCTTTCTTTCAAATTTAACAAGTGAAAAGAAATTGTAATTTTGTTCTGTTCAAACAGTACATTTAGTTTTAATAGTATCGAATAAAAATGTCCGTGAAAAGTTAGAACGTGTAACCGGACCTACTTGTAGAGACTCTACTTTCGTTCAAACTCTTACTTTCGTCGAGAAAGACAAGGGGAACTATCTCGAGGGGGGGAAAAAAATTACGAAGAAGTAGGAGGACCGATAAACGCAATCGGGTAGAAAGTTGTAAAGTGAAAACCGTGTGAGACGATACTAACGAATAAATAACCAAAACTCTTCTTTTCTATTTCTTTTTTTTTAAATACCAATTATGTCATGTAAAAAAGTAGCAACGAGCCTCTGTTATTGGCAATATACTAAAAGAAGAAAGATAAATACGAATACGAATAAGATGACAACACAGAGAAAAGACGTGTAGGACTTATATTGAATGACAGAAAACGAATAGTATTTCTCGAACCAACTAACGCAAATGACGAAATCCTACTGCCTCATTGAGACTACTTCTCACCGATTTTCTTTTCTCCTTCTTTCCCACCTTTTCCTCCACCTCCTCTCCTTTTCTTACTTCTCTTACAACCCCACCAGTATTTAAATAACGGGATTAAACAATACGTTTCATTTTCTTATTAAATATATATATATATATATATATAGTTATATTATATAATAAATTAATAATATTATTATTATAATTATTTTTAATATTATAATTTTT